TTATTTAAAATAAAATCCCATTCTTTTATTAATATTTTCAACTTTCAATGTAGAGCTCTTATTTATAAAATTGTTAATATTATTCACTATGTATTTACTACATACAATGACCACTCTGTGGCTTACTACAACCTTTTTACATTACCATTATTATCTACTAAGGTTAATTCTTCTAAACAAGACCTTTTTATTCGGAAAAACGGAATATCTTTTTTTAGACGTTACTTTTCAAATACGCCGTCGATAAATTTTTCTTTATCTGACAGAGCTTCGCGCTCTAATTTTAAACTTAATCCTTTTTGAGTTGCTGGTTTCGTTGACGGTGAGGGTTGTTTTTCGGTTATTATTTCGAAAAGTAATAGTTTAAAAGTTGGTTGACGTGTTCGAGTCTATTTTTATATTGGTTTGCATGTTAAGGATAGAGCATTATTAGAATCTATTCAAAATTTTTTTGGTGTAGGTAATATCTATTCTGCCACTGAATCTCTTGTTCGATACCAGGTTAATTCTTTTAAAGACATCAAAGTAATTATTGATTTCTTTGATAAGTATAAATTAATTACTAATAAAGGTGCTGACTTTTTTCTTTTCAAAGAAGTTTATACTTTAATGTTGAATAAAGAACATTTAACTCTTCAAGGTTTACATAAAATTGTGGCGATACATGCTGCTATTAATTGAGGTTTAACAGATCAATTAAAAGCTGCTTTTCCTGATATTGTCCCTGTTCTAAGACCTAAGGTTCAATTTTTGAATATTCCAGATCCTTATTGATTAGCTGGGTTTGCTAGTGGTGAAGGGTGCTTTTTATTAATATCACTAAGTCTAACACTTACCGTTCGGGATTTCAAATACAATTAAAATTCCAACTTGTTCAGCATCTTAAAGATGAGACACTAATGGTAGGTATAAGAGAGTATCTTGATTGTGGTAGTACTTATAAAACTAGAGATTGTTTTAGTTATCAAGTTACTAAAATAGGGGATATTGATGATAAAATTCTTCCTTTTTTTACTAAATTTCCCGTTCTTGGGGTTAAAGCGAAGGATTTTGTGGATTTTTCCCGGGTTCTTGTTCTTATGAAGGATAACAAATTGTCTTTAGCTATGCCGGGGTCAGATAAATTAGAGCAAATTAAACGTATCAAATCTGGTATGAATAAAGGTAGAGAATAAAATAATTAATTCAGGACAGGCCTTGCATGCTGCTTCGCAGCAGCCATAATAATTTTGAATTTTTTTTTTTACTTAATTTTAAGATTTGCCCACTTTGGACCCGCCGAATAGAGATTTTGTATTGGCTTTTCAGCTTTATACTAATTCAAATAATAGTTCTGATGTACTAAAAGAAATTGCCAAATTAAAAAACAATATGAATCGGTTAAGATTAGATTATACTATATCTAAAGATAAAGTTATTAATATAACTTCTTACTGACTTTTAGGTTTTATAGAAGGAGAAGGTTGCTTTAGTATCAATAGACATAACAACTATAGATTAGATTTTAGCCTATCTCAGTCTTCTATAGATCTTGAGTTAATGAAAAGCATTAAAGTATACCTTGAGAATCTTACAGGTGCGGAAGGTAATTATACAAATGCACTAGGAATTTCTGAAGTAAGATCTAATAACCCTAATCATAAATCTACCACAAGAATTGAAACTGCCCGTATACCTTTTATCACTAATCTTCTTATACCATTTTTAGATAGTCTTACTTGACAAAGTAAAAAGTATTTAGACTTTCAAGATTGAAAAAATATTTGAAATTAAAAGAACAAGGCCACCATTTATCCGAAAAAGGTAGTAAATTAATAGATCTAATAATAAGTCAAACTAATAATAACAGACTATCTACATCTTTAAACCATGTAATTGTAGATAGAGAACAGATATTAGCAAAAGTTAATGAATTACTGGATGGTCCTGCAAATTTCGAGATAAGAAATAGTAGAAAATTTGTAGTTTCATTGAATAAATATTATCACTCTTCTCGTAAGAATGTATATGTAATAATAGTAGATGAAAAGGGTAATAAATTACATGTTTTCGACTCACTAGCAGATTGTGCTAAGTTTTTAAATGTTGATCCTAGTACAGTTTCAAAAAGAAAAAGTAAAGATATACCTTTTATATTTGAAAATAAAACTGTTTACATTAAAAATGAAAAAGCTAGTGAGGAGCTTGTGCCTTAAAGGTTATAGTTAACAACCTTTACATAAAAAGTATAAATGATAGTGAATAATATTAACATATATTAGTGTTTATAACATAATTGGAAGTTAATGACCCTTCTATGACTATTTTAGCTGAGGGGCACCAATGATATTGATCATATCAGTACCCAGATTTCATAGATTCAAATGAAGAATTTATAGAATTTGATTCTTATATAGTACCAGATTCTGATTTAGAAGATGGAGGATTAAGAATGTTAGAGGTTGATAACAGAGTAATAGTTCCTGAATTAACACATATAAGATTTGTAATAACATCTGGTGATGTTATTCATTCTTTTGCTTGTCCATCTTTAGGTATAAAATGTGATGCTTACCCAGGTAGATTAAACCAAGTATCCGTTTTCATAAATAGAGAAGGAGTATTCTATGGTCTTTAATACATGGCCAAAACTGTAGTGAACCTATGGTTATAAATCATCAAATTGCGGGAACACCCTAAAGAAATCTTAACCAAGTAAGTATGGTAACATAACTTATGGCACAGGTAATGACTCGTGGTACGGTAAAATCAAGATTTATTATTCAATGGGCAATCCGCAGCCAAGTACCAATTGTAGAAGTAAGCTTTTATTTGGTATGCAGTTCATCGACTAGATGGTGGTTGGTATTATTAGTATTAATAATGCTTAAGATATAGTCAGACCCTACCCGAAAGGGTACAGAAAAGTATGAGTCTTTTACCGTATTTTTTGTTAATTAGATATAATAGAGGTTATTATATTTAGGGACCCTACAATAGTTTGCTAAACTTATTTTTAATGTAAGCGCTTAAAGGTGATATAAATCACTTATTTTCCATAAACTGTTGTAACATTGCATGGTACAACTAGTAGAAGTGTTTTTAATAATCACTTGTTATCTGATAAGCGTATAGGACTAAGTACTATAGCAGCTTTACCTTTAACAAGACATTTTAGTTCAATCAGATCTTTAGTCAATAATTCTGAAGCTTTAGCTTCAGATCATATTAATAGTGGAAAACCTACTACTTTATCCGTAATTAATAAAGTATTACTCAATCAAAATTTAGTAGTTACTGACTCTAAATTAAAAGAATTATTAAAAGTTGAAGGTGTAGAAATAGAACTTCCTATATCTACACCGAAGGGTAAGGAGCTTTTAGCTGAATTAACAGGTAAATCTAAGTATAAAGGTTTCTGTGTATATATGTTTATACATAAAAATACAGGTGATAAATATGTAGGTTCATCCAACCTACTAAGACGTAGAATGGACTACTATTTTAACGGAGATTATCCTTTAGCAGGTAAATTTTTACCTTTACTATATAAAGAAGGACTAGAAGCTTTTAAATTAAGAATATTTAAGTTAGATAGTAATAAATTTAGCAGTCAAGACGCTTTAATATTAGAACAATTTTATTTATTAGATAAAGAATTTAACCTAAATACATTAAGAGTTGTTAACGCTGGATCTTCAAAAGGTGATCCTGTATATGTTTATGATCTAACTTGCAGTATTCTTTATTATCACGCTAAATCTAGAATTGAATTAAAAAGAGTATTAAATATACACACTGAAACTAGTAAAAAGTATGTAGATTCTAAATTACCTTATCTTAATAAGTTCTTATTATTAAGCTATCCTATACCTACAGCTTTAACTAGCGATATTTCTTTAGAAGAATTATTAGGTATAATGCAAGATGAAAGAAAAGATACTTATAAGTTAGGTACTCGTACAAGTATTCCAGTAGAATTAGAGATTAAAGAAGGAAATACATTTGTGAGCGAAGCTTCCAAAGGTCATACTTTAAAATTTGATTCTTTAACTTCTTGTATGGAATATTTAAGAGGATTAGGATTAATAATTAAAAGAGACACTCTAACTAAATACATAAAAATTGAAAAAGTGTTTCATAATTTCTTATGTAAATACTCTGATAAAACTTTACCTAAAAACTTTGACGAAATAGGATTAATAATTGATGAATATAAAAAGTTAAAAGTAGATACAGATTCATTAATAATTAATAGAAAAAATAAACCTATATTAGTTAAAGGAGGCGCGAAGCTCCATATGGATAAAGAATTTGACAGTATAACTGAGGCAATTAAACACTTTGATAATTTAAACATAAAATTAGATAGCAAAACTTATATCTTCGTTTAAAAGACGGAAAAATATATAAAGATTATTATTTTACTTATAAATAATGATAAGTTCAATATAATCTTTACTAACATTAAAAAATTAGTAGGGAATCGCAATGTTCAGAAATATGTGGAATTCTTCACAGTTCAATGCCTATAGTTATAGAATCTGTAAATATAGATAAATTTGTGCATTGACTATATTCAGTTTAATAGTGCGAGTGTCGCAAACGGCGAACTAGGATTGCCCTATTCCCTATTCCCGGCTACGCCGGGAATAAGCAAGCTCTAAAATAAAGTTCTTGATTTTTTTGATTGCTGGATTTTAGAGCCTGCTGATTCCCGCCTTCGGCGGGAATAAGTATTGCGCCGACCTATACCAGGCGCAAGCTCGAAAAAAATATCCGTAGGAATAGTCTACGCGCAAGCTTTTCGCTATGGAGAAGGGCTAGCTTCGCTAGAGAATACGTGGCCCTTCTTTATTTTTTTTATTTATCGCTAGCTGAAGCTTCTCTGCTCCTACGGAGAGCTTGCTTATTCGTGAAACGAATATTCGGAGAAAATTAGCAAGCGACCCCGTGCTTAAATTTGGAGGAGCTAGCCGATTTCTTCAAAACCGGCAAGCTAGCGCTACTTATTAAAAAAAGGGATATTAGTTTAATGGTAGAACAAGATGGTACGGTCATCTTGATTGTAGTTCAAGTCTACAATATCCTTAGTATAGTTATAGGTAATTTGGAGGCGCATATTTAAGTGTAGCATATTCCCGAGCTCGCTAGTGCTAATTTCGAAGAAATATGCACTACTCCCTATTCGAGGGGTATTTTTTTTTCTTCGATATAGGCGCAAGCGACCCCTTACTCGGGGAAAAAAATCGCGCAAGCATATCCATATCCCTCCGGGTACGCAGGCTAAGGGTAGCGCTAACTCTAGCAATAAAAAAAAATAAATAGAGAGCTTGCTATGAAATACACCACGCTACTTATTTTAAATCAAAAGGATATTAGTTTAATGGTAAAACTAGATGTTTCGGCCATCTTGATTGCAGTTCAAGTCTGCAATATCCTTAGTACAATTATAGGTAATTTTGTTTATCAATAGTTATACTTATAATTATGGGTTTGCTATACATAGCTTGCGTATATATACTAGCTTACTATAGTGAGGCTAATAAAGGCGGGCGAGCAAAGGTGCGGCTGATTAGGGGGGGGAGGCTAGCCATATTTCTTCGAATATTCGTTTCACGAATCAGCCAGCTCGCCTAGAACGAAGTCCCTTGAAAAAAAAATAGGTTTTTTTACTATCCGCCCCCTGCTACTCGCACGCAGACTAGGTAAAGATCATAATTATAGGTGGGGCGGCTGCTTTATAGTAAGCTAGCCCACCACCGAACAATTAGTAGTTTTAGATAAAATATGAATTTAACTTTAGTACTTTTTTAATAGGAATCTTAGGGTTTGTATTTAATAGAAAAAATATAATATTAATGCTTATTTCTATAGAAATAATGCTATTATCTATAACATTCTTAATATTGGTAAGTTCTGTTAATATCGATGATATAATAGGACAAACGTATGCCATTTACATTATTGTTGTTGCTGGTGCAGAATCTGCTATCGGTTTAGCTATTTTAGTAGCTTTTTATAGACTTTCGTCTCTTAAATTTAACCATCTATCCTTTAGTTATGCAAAAGCCAGTAAATTACCTGCTGTAAACTTAATAAAATGGCTAGCGCAGCCAGCAGCTCCATCTGTAGGAATAAGAAATTATTCTACAGTATGTTCTTCTAATTGTAAAAATAATTCAATTGACCCTTGATTCATTACTGGGCTTTTTGATGCTGAAAGTTCTTTTGTAGTTACTATTTTAAAAAATCCTAGATACAAAACAGGATGAAATGTTCAAGCAAGATGAGGCTTCGCCTACCAAATAAAAATGCATGAAAGAGATAGAGATTTAATGACTCAAATTCCAAAATTCTTTGGAGGTATAGGGTATATATCAAACCCTAATAAAAATACTACTGTAGAATTTAGAGTTAGTACTATGAACGATCTAGTTAATGTAATTATACCTCATTTTGATAAAGAGCTAGCGCCACCACTGTTAACTAAAAAATACTCTGACTATGTGTTATTTAAAAATATTCTTAAATTAATGTTAGAAAAAAACCTTAGTACTTTAGAGGGAATACAAAAAATAGTTAATATTAAAGCATCTATGAGTTTAGGTTTATCTGATGTACTGAAAGGTGCTTTCCCTGAAACTATGCCAATAGTAAAAGAGGGGGCGAATTATATCAAGGATATCCCTCAAGAATGAATGGCTGGGTTTTCAACAGGAGGTGCGTAGCTCCAAATTTCTTTATTACTATTCAAAATTCTAAAACTAAGAGTGGTATAGCTGCCTCATTACGTTTTTCTATAGCTCAAGATTCTAGAGATTTATCTTTATTAGAAAGCTTTGAAAATTTCTTTGGTTGTGGGTATGTGGCTAAATATCAAAATCGTGCAGTTTGTGAATTTATCGTTACAAAAATTGATCATATAGTTAATAATATAATTCCTTTTTTTGATGAACATAGTATAAGAGGGTCAAAATATCCAGACTTCTTAAACTTTAAAAGTGCTGCTTTAATTATTAAAAATCCAGAGCATTTAATCCTACGGCAGCAGGCTAGAAGAAGGATTAAAACAAATTTTACAATTAAGAAATAAAACTACAGTGCAGGTTAATACTGAAACTAAAAATAATCATGGGCATTATTAGGGCCCCAGAGAAATTAGTACGCTCCGCTAAAAAAAGGTGGAGTGAACCTTCACCTAGTCTTTATATAAAGGCAAAATCTTCAAATTGCGGGAAACTCTTAAAGACAAATCTACCAAGTTAATACAGTAATGTAATTAATGGAACAGGTAATGACTCGTTGTAAGGTAAAAACGATTTGTATAAAGAAATGCAATAGATAATCCGCAGCCAAGTACCAAAACACTTATAATTACCGGTATGCAGTTCATCGACTAAATGGAGGTTGGTAAATAATTACTAGTCCTACGGACCAGCAAGCTCTAATTATTTGCTTAAGATATAGTCAGGCATAACTTAAAGGTTATGGAATATCCCCAGCCCACCTAAGGGAATTAAATTCCTATGGTAAAGGGGAGAAAACGAAGAGGAAGTATTGCGTATCTGGTCTGTATACCTGGAACGTTTAGAGATACGCATTATTTTATAATGTATATCTTAAGGGGTAGAATTTAAAGGTAAAACTTGATGACTATAATATCATAAAAGTTGTAGTTCAATTCTACAATACCTCTAGTCTAATTTAATTATTATACTAATAGAGCCATAAATTATGGTTCCCGAACAATTTGTTATATTAAATAAAAATATGAGTTTAACCTTATTACTTTTTTTAATAGGAATCTTAGGATTCGTATTTAATAGAAAAAATTTGATACTTATGCTTATTTCTATAGAAATAATGCTATTATCTATAACATTCCTAATATTGGTAAGTTCTGTTAATATCGATGATATAATAGGACAAACGTATGCCATTTACATTATTGTCGTTGCCGGTGCAGAATCTGCGATCGGTTTAGCTATTCTAGTAGCTTTTTATAGATTAGCTTCACATTATGCTCCAGGTAGTATTAATAGAGCTTCAACTTCTAATATTCAATCACTCAACAGAGTTTCAGACTTAAGAAAGGTAAATTCTTATCCTTTCAAAGTTCCCGGTACTTTTATTAGAAATTACTCTACTACAAGAGTAATGAGCTTACATCCTTGATTTGTCACAGGTTTCACAGATGCTGAAGGTTGTTTTTGAATAGGTGTAAGAAATGATCCTAGAAATAAAACAGGATGATGTGTTCAAGCTTTTTTCCAGATTGCATTACATAAAAAAGATGTAGCACTCTTAAACAACATACAAAGTTATTTCGGTGGAATTGGTACTGTGGCTGTGAGAGGTGACAGATGTTATTTTATAGTAAGTTCTTTAAAACAAATTATAAAAGTTATTATCCCTCACTTTGACGCTCATCCTTTAATCACAAATAAATTGGTAGATTATAGATTATGAAAATCTATTATTTCTATAATGGAAGCTAAAAGACATTTAACTGTGGAAGGGTTAAATGAAATAATAAGAATGAAATCATCCTTAAATTTAGGTTTATCTGATGAGATCCAGGACGCTTTTGCAGAAACTCTTTCTACTAATCCAAACCAAGAAAGGTCATGGAACCCTGCAGAATCTATACCACATGGAATGTGAATGGCTGGATTTACATCAGGGGAGGGCTCTTTCTTTGTTAATATATTCAAATCAACTCATCACAGGGTGGGATATCAGGTAAGATTAGGGTTTGAAATAGCTCAACATATTAGGGATGAATTAACTATGGCAACTTTTACTTCTTTCTTTAACTGCGGTATCATAAGTAGATACTCAGAAGATATGGTAAAGTATAGATGTACTAAATTTTCAGATCTAAACACCCTAATTATCCCTTTCTTTAAGGAATACTTACCGTTAGGTAATAAATTGTTAGACTTCGAAGATTTTGGTAAAGTTGCTTTATTATTAGAGAATCAAGCACATTTAACTGAAGAAGGTCTAAATAGTATCCGTAAAATAAAAGCGGGTATGAATAGTTTACGTAAGTAGAAATTTGTTATTTCATATCCCTACGGGATCAGAAATTAGCAAGCTACCACCGGAGAGTTTGCTATGAAGAGGTTCGCCCCCCACAGTAAGGGTCGGAGCCAACAAAGTTCCGACCCTTCCTGTTGGCTAACCTTATCACTAAACTCTTTAGGAAGGGTCTATTTCATATCCCTACGGGATCAGAAATTAGCAAGCTAGCCATTAAATAAATATTCCTTAGTTAATTTGAATAAGGTAAGGAATAAGTTAAGCTAATCCCACGGTGTTTTGTGAGTTAATGTAAGTTATTTGATTTGAATTATAGTAGTACTTGAGTTATTTATTAAGAGGTAGAAGCCTAAAATAATTAAACCAAATAGAATAAAACCTTGATCTAAAAAGGGGAAACGAACTTTCCTCTAGTCTTTGCTAATCCCAAAGGCGAAACCTTCAAATTGCGGGAAGCACCTAAAACTATTTCAACCAAACCATCATGGTAACATAGATGGTGGCACAGGTAATGACTCGTGGTATGGTAAAATCGAAATAGAAAACAGTTAACGAGCTAGCGCCATAAATAATTGTTTAAGGTTAATCTGCAGCCAAGCACCTTTTACAACATAAATAAACTTAAGGTGTGCAGTTCATCGACTAAACGTAGGTTGGTAAATAATATCCAGCAAGGGCCGGTTAATTAAAAGGAGATTTTTTTCGTAATAATCTATTTTTAACTAGGTTTTTATTTAAATGTAATCTTAAGATATATTATTAAATAAACTCTGAATTAATATTTCTCCGAAATCACGCGGGCTGGTGGACAAAGTTAGGTTCAGCAGCTGAAGTGGAATATTATTTGCTTAAGATATAGTCAACCGCTTAATATGCTTATTTATACATAAATATAAAAAAACATATTAAGTCTAGAAGAGGAAGTATTAGAATAGAATATAAATAATGTATTTAAGTATAATTATATTACCTTTATTAGGATCTATAGTGTCCGGTTTTTTTGGTAGAAAAGTCGGTGTTACAGGTAGCCGTATTTTAGGTTGTTTAAGTATAATGATAACAACAATATTAGCTATTATTAGCTTTTTCGAAGTAGGATTTAATAATAATCCGGTTTCAATTAATTTATTTAAATGATTAGATAACGAATCATTTAATATGGTATGAAACTTTCAATTTGATAGTTTAACAGTATCAATGTTAATACCTGTATTAATAATCAGTTCTTTAGTTCATTTTTATTCAATAGGATATATGAGCTCAGATCCTCACAATCAAAGATTCTTTAGTTATTTAAGTTTATTCACTTTTATGATGATAATACTAGTAACAGGTAATAATTATTTAGTTATGTTCGTAGGATGAGAAGGTGTAGGTGTTTGTTCATATCTATTA